GCCAATGCGGCGGCGCCTGAAGCAACTATTTCACAACCTTTTCCAAGGGACATTAATCTCAATGAGCCGCAGTTGTGCCGACAGAAACTGCAAAAATGAATCAAAGTGGGAAAAAAACCAAGAAGCACGCAATCTTCAGTTTTAACCCATTTGTACATCGATCTTTTAGAGTCAAATACGTCAAATTTTGAGCGTTTCGTTGCGCGTACACCTCGCTGCAGCACAATAAAAGCACAAAATGTAAAAGAAAAAATTAAAGTGCTTTGGAAATCATTAAATTTGACACGGAACCACCAATATTTAAAAAACACACGTTATATTATTATTCTCCTTTAATAAATTAATACATATTTTTCCCATCAATTGAAATGAGAATAATCAATGTAGAGTGTGCAAACATTTCAAAATCATGAGTTAAAAAACGCTGACTTTGCAAGTATAAATATTAAAACCGAAGAGAGCGGAGCGGCGTGCTGCCAGCGCGAGAGGCTCACTGGCGCCTGAAGCAACTATTTCACAACAGAGGTGTTGCACAGTATTATACGAAATTGAACGTATTAAGTATGACAGGCACCTTTTTAAAAGTACAGATCATTCCTCGCAAAATAAATCAAGATACTTATCGTACACAGGAAAAATGTGCCTTTCAACCCCATTCAGAGTTCAGTTTTTTCCTTCTTCTTCTTTTTTTAAATGAAATTAAGAAGAAAATACGGAAATACGACACACTAAAACACAGCAAAGTGCAAGAACAGCATTTGCAGTGGCATTGTTCCTCAGCCACCGCGTGGTCTTGCGCTAAAAAAAAGTCTTCGCAATAATTCGACAACATTGCGAAAAGCGAGCAACAGTACCTCCGCTTTAACTCAGCCGAGGGAGCTGAACGCAAAGCATCTCTCTCACATATCCAACACGGCGCGCTGCATCCCCTCGCATCGCATCGCATCGCACAACCGCCAGATGGAATTGATCGAAATTCAAACGCAGTCTAATCATATATTATTGTCTGACAAATGAAAAAACTAAGCAAAGGAGCCTTGGCTCCACCGACAAATCCCCAACCCCTCTTGGGAACAAAAATCCCCTAACGAAACTTCACAAGACTCAACTCTGAGTTGCCAAATTGGATGGTCATTGTCGACGGAACTCTATGATTTACTTGCGAATTATTCCTTTACCTTTTGCCTCTGAACAGATTTAATTTTTTACCTTTTTGTGTTTCCGCATTTCAATATTGTTTTTCGTCTCATTTGCACAACAAACTACTAGATGCAGTCCTCTGAATGTTTTTAAAAGGAGTCCAGCGGAATGAGACTGGGCTACCTTCCCTACTTTCGCTCATGATTCGCACTATTCGGCTTGGTCAGTTCATCATGCCCATGATTTCATTTTCATTTTCATCTTAATGAAAAAAGATTTCCACTTGTATTTTGAGTATTTGAAAAAAAATCAACAACAACGATAGATTACAGTGACCAATAACAGTCAAATACTGCTAAGAAAAAACGGCGTATGAGCCTTTAGACGTTGCTGGCTTGCCTATACTAAAAACCGAATTCACCGGCAAAAATTTGAATATTTTTTTTCAAATCTTTCAGAAAATTTTGCTTGCAACTTGATCCATCAAATTTCGAAAATTTCACGATAAAATTTTCATAACTTCCCTCGAAAATACATGTTTTATTTGGAGAAATTTGGCACTCTCGAATGTTCATACGGCGTTTTTCCTCAGCACGGCAGAATACTTACCTTATTTCACTTGAAACTATTAACATTGGTACTATTAAACTATTAGCAATTGGTATGGTATGGGCATGTGCAGAGAATGGCTGATACCAGGTTGCTGAAGAAGGTGCTGGAGTGGGTCCCCCCAGGTAGGCGACGGAGAGGGCGTCCAGCCAAACGGTGGGTAGAGGGCATCCGTGAAGAGATGGAGAGATACCAGCTTCCGGAGGATCTCTACCATGACAGGTTCCTAAGGAGAGTAGGCGTCGCAGAGCGCCTCAGCGCGCCGTAAAAACAGCTTATACGTACACATACTATTAACATTTTTAAGTGGAATTTTTGATTTTCTTGACCAAAAGTGTTTCTTCTCCCCAAAAATGTGATATTTATGAGTAATTTTGGTTATGTTTCAGAGTATAGAATGGTGCGGCCGATGCTGAGGCTGAGCGCGCACCTGGTTTGGGTATGGGTGTGGGTGTGGGTGGCCATGCTCATCGGGGCGAGTCTCGTGGAGGAGGCGGAGGCCCAGGCCCAACGGAGCATCTCCATGCGGAGCTACTACCGCGGCGGAGGCGGCAAGACGCCCGCCCGCACCATTCGCGGCTTCAAGCAGGCCGCCCTCTCCACTGCCCGCGGCTTCGGCAAGAGGGACAGCCCTCTCACGCTCCCCCTCGCCGTCCCTATGGCCAGGGACGACCTCGAAATGGCCGCTAGCCAACTCCAACTCAACAACAGAGATAGGTAACCATCATTAAATATCCTTAAAAAATAGTTTATAGGGTATTGAGAAAATAGCAATCTTTACGTTCTCCGAGATAGGCATATCAATGAGTCAATTCGCGAAGACAGCCAAATTCAAGATAATGCTAAGTGGACTAAAATGCGGCGAGAAATTTGGTCGGAACATGTAGAGAGAATGGAAGAAGGGTGTCCCAAAAAAAGGGTCGACCCTCAAAAAGTTGCGTTTTTTGGACGAATACGTGTTCCGTTTCGTTAAAAAAACAACTTTCGCCAAGTCTCAGAATTCTAGATGAAGTTTAGGTGCTGCTGCATCCCATATCTTTGAAATGCACCGTTCAAAAATCCCCTTTTCGGTATGGTAAATTTCAAAAACATGCGATGAGACAGCACTTAATCTTCACCTATAATTCTGAAACTTTGCCAAAGTTGTTTCTCAACTAAATTAAACACTTTTTTGTCTAGAAAACGCAACTTTTTGAGGGTTGGCCTTTTTTTGGGACACCTTAATGGACGGAGAGATGCTTGCTAAGATTTGTATGGTAAGATGACCTTCAGATCGGAGGCAACCCGTACGACCGGCTAAGAGATGGGCACAGAGCTGCCTTTTATCTATGGAGGACCAATAAGTTTCATCACCAGTATATTCTTAATTCAGAGGCTGGACAAACAGCATCTCACCCATAGTCAAAAGTTAGGAGAAGTAGGAGAAAAGCCTAAGGAATCTCACGAATTAAAAAGAATATTGTAGTGCTTACTAGATTCCGGTATCCATAGTTGACAGGCCATAGTATATGGTCGGATTTACATTTTCAGCGCCCTAGGTTGAAAACTTAAGAGCTTATCGAGCGCATCCCGCTGAGGCACTGACGCGATACTGCTGTGGTACAACTCTGGCCTTAGGCGCTTGGAAGCAACTATTCGTGCTCGGTGAATGTCCTGGTTGCATACAGAGGAATGAAGGCGTTCTGATTTTGCACACTGGATAATTTTGACGGGAGGAAATTTTCAACCAGTAGAATTCCAAACTTGTTTCAACTCATTTTTTCCCAAACTGCGACTCGGTGAATTTCAGTCAAACTCGGTCCAGTGGTTCGATTTTTGAATCCATATTGATATCGAATGACCTTGATCGATATAAAGCATTGCTAAGAGAGGGAATCTATCGATTAGGGTCATTCGATAACGAGTCAACAATCGACCCGCAGTGCCCTGGAGATAGATGATTCTTTATGGATGAGCCAGAAATAGTAGTTCCTTATTTCAAAATGTTTCAGATGAAGAAAATAGCGATAAAATTTACAGAAATAAGTAGTCCTCCATCGGTTCGCCTTGGAATCTCCGAAGACATTTTACAATGTGAAGGAAAGCTACACTTGATAATGTGGCACATAGCATCGGCACTGAAAAAAACATTGGAAGGAGGAGGTGGGTAGCGATGATAATTTACGACGATGAGTAGGCAGGGGAGAGATTGAGAGGGAGAAATAGGATTTTGCATTCGTTTAATTAAATTGGCCAATCCAACGGAGGGCAGTTAGGACGCTTGGAGATGCCGCCCGTGTCGGCAGACGGATCGTCAGGGCGTGGGAGGCGGAGAGGACGGACGCGACGTGAAACGTGGACGTGGACTTCTCGGCCGACCCAAGGTCCCAGGCACGCGAGGCGCCACCACATACCGAAGCGTGAATGATCGATTATCGATATTTCCCCATTTGAGGCTGTGGTGAAGAATCGATTTTTAAAGTGTTCGTTTCGAACATCCTGTCTATCGATCCTTTTCCAAAGGTTTAAATGACAGATTAATCGATGAATCGCAAAGCGCGCCATGCCACCGATTCTGAGATCAATCGATGCCTTTGCCCGTATACTTCCGCGTTAAAATAGAAATCCTATTTATAGTCGTCCAAGGTTGCAATTTTTCATGAGAAATAAAATCTTGAAGTTTCACGTGAAATATTCCATGTAAGTTCAGAAATCTATGAAAGATGTTGAAAAAATTCGGTTCCGTTCCATGTTTCGAAAAGTGCAAAAAATGTGACTTTCCTATATTTCTGTGTGTTTGAGTGCGGGATGCATATGCTAGCCCCTGAAAAAAAGGAAATATTTCACAGCCTCGAGAAATTTCATGAAATATTTAACGGAAATTTCCAATCTTTCAAATTTTTATTTCACACGTGCAACTCTGAAGTCGTCCCTTATAACAGCCTCTTTCCATAGGAGGACCTGTGTGATCAACTTTGCAACTAAGAGAAAATTAAAGAAATCCTTAATATAGTATCCTAAAAAAGATAAATTCAACTGATCTCGAGTAAAATTCAAAAATATAACGCATTTCGAAAAATCATATGCAGCACCTACAACTGACAGCAGGCGCAGTTGCCGCAAGGAAATAAACACCTTCTTTTTTTTTACATATGCAACACAGACAACCACAGAGCACGAAAAGTTGTATCCAGGAATTACTATCAATTAGCGACGCGTTGCTTGCCTAACACCACCCTTGAGACTTTTTCCGTGAAACAGAGTTTGTATGTTCNTCAAGTGTATATGTTTCCGGTCAAAATCCGAGCAATTTTTGGGCTTTTTAGGGGCCTAAAACTTTCTTAATGCAACCGGTTTGACCTGCCAGACCGCCCATTTCTTTTTACACACCAAAATCCGCTTCGAATGAGGTGGGTGGCAAATTTATATTATTCCGGTTGAACGAATCGTCATGAGCTCTCGGTCTATTGAGACTTTTTCCGTGAAACAGAGTTTGTATGTTCTTGATGTGATAAGTCGCGATGAGAAGAAAGGTTTTGAGCCTTGATTAAGGGTGAAATAACCGATTGTATAGAAGATTTTTCCTCATTCGGCTTTGTCAATAGGGCTATTGTAATGAAAGTAGAAAAGGCATGTGTATCTTCAGCTAGATGAAGATCATAGTTTCATGTTCATCTCATATTTCACTCTTTTATTCTCCTCTATAAAGAGATATCAATATTATAAAGCTAATTCTCTCCTTCACATTTAGTCAATGGCGACATCCGTTATGGAAGTATTCGATGTAAAGGCACAATGAATGTTCACAAAATTGCTGTGCTATTAGCATTAATGTTGCTGCTCATAATGGATCAGGTTTTTTCGCTTTAATTTGTGATTTACTATGACTATTCCTTCACGAAGACACAGGCTGTATAGAGGCAAAACATCGTGACGGATTTCATCCCTTAGATCACTTAAAATCACCTTAAGAAGCCAGTTTGGAAAAACGATTCTACCATTTATTACAGAAGACGTTGTTTTATCCCCGACAACATTTAGGCACACGGCCGTCAAAAACGTCCCGCACATTATTAAACTTTGAACTTGTTGCGTCGCCAAGGAAACTAGGTTAGTTGCCAAACAAGCAAAAAGTATTTTCGAATATGTGAACAGATTCTGGCGGGACCGAGAGAGCTTTTGCCGAAATGCAACGAAGAGGTTTATGGTCCTGGCAGCCGCCAAAACCACCATCAAGCCACTCCTTGACGTTGCCAAGATGTCCTCTCAAGAGGGGGATCCATCGTATTGGAATGATTATAATGCGGAGATTGCCAACTTTGGCAACGGAAATTCATTCTACTACTTTACATAAAGAAAAGCTAACTTTTCTGACTCATCTATAATTCTTCAATTCTTATAGTTCATCGAAAATTCTCCTATTTTATAATTCCTGGCTCATTCAGCCAATCACACCTTTGTCCATGGGAAAATTAATGTAATACACGTTATTTCGAAAATGAGCGAGAAAAGTTGGTTTCTTTCAGCATAGCGTAGACTATTTCAATGACTATCAATTGGACCACATTCTGAAATAAGGAACCACTATTTCTGGCTCATTTTAGAAACAGCATGCCATTGGTTTCCCTATGCAGGAAGGTGCTTTTATGCAAAATGCAATCCAAGTGGACCGAGTTTAACGGAAACGCACCAATCCGCATTTTAGGAAACAATCCGTTGGGGTGAGTTTTGTTTCCAACTGTACCGAGAAAAAAAGGATGCTGATTTAACATTTTGGATGTAAGAAAGTGTGCGACAACTCACAAAACGCTGAATCAACCACTACAGCAGTTACTTTTAGAATTGTCAAGATGTAAAATTAACTGCTGTGGCGGTTAGTTTAGCGTTTTGTGAGTTGTCACACATTTTTTTGCACCCAGAATGTTAAATCAGCATCCTTTCTCATTCGGCGTGGTCACGAATTTTCTAGAGTCAAAAATTCTAAGTCAAGAAAAGTTATTTCGAACATGACTATCAAACTCAAACTGATTTAACTCTCACACTGGTTGAATTCCATACTTTCACACACTTTCCGTAATAATTAATACGAATTATTTACATTTAAGATAGAAATTAGTATGGCATTTTTTCACTCAATGTTGTTACAAAAATGGCGTGCTGAGGGCCCTTTGAAAAACTCGTGCGTACGCAATGTATCCCACTTGAAAGTCAAACTTGAAAGATTCAGAAATTGTTGCCGATTAAAGACAATTTTCAAACCTTTCGTTAAATCAATAATTATCAAAGTTTCCAAACTCACATTTGTTCAAGCGCATACATGTATATGTAAACGCATTCGCTTTTTTTAAACATAGAAGCAAAGGTGGCAGGTGCCGAGTGTAGACTGATGACTGCATACTTTACGCAGAGAACAAACTGTAGGCTGCACTGTTGCACACAGATATTGAGAAACTCATCAGGAAGTTTGAAACTTTTGGTTTCGAATCATTTTCAGTTCATAACGAATATTCCCGGAAGTTCTCAAGTTGCCGAGCAAATAAAAGGGGCACGGGCTAAAACAGGATGATAAAAGAGGGGGAGGCGATGAGAGTTTTGGCAGAGATTTCCCTTGTTTTGTGGAGCAGCGTGGAAAAGTTAATATTCATGTTTATACTCACAATTGGTTAACCATCGTTATCGTGGTAGAAATTCACTTTTTGTTTTTTCAATAACTCGTTGAAGCTTTTTTAAGGTACGGATTCACTTTTTAAAATCAACCATTCGAACCATTTGAACTAATGTGAAGAAAAAGGAATATTTTTCTGAAATAAGCTGAAACAAGTTTTGAAATATAGCACGTCTCCACAGAGTTTTTTTTTTTCTTTGAAAATAAAATGCAAACGGCAATTAAACCAAATGTGTGCACATATGTTAACCAAATATGTTAGGACAGGACTTATTAGTTTTAGCTTATCTACAAGAATCAAGAATCAAAACACGATTCTGTAACTAGCGTAACTGACCTATTCCTGGAATGCGGGGGTGGAGTAACAGCTCTGTATAAGAAGGTTTAGTGGATGCGCAAGGGGGAGGGGGGGGGTGATTCAAGGGAAGGAGTAGCGGACCCGCCCGGAGTTAAGTTCTGAAGCGATACACTCATTACGCATATTATTTTATAATACTGAGTAAGATTTCTGAAATTAGTATTTTATAAACTTAAATTATTTACTCCTATATTTGCTCCTGTTTCAGCTTGCCGCTGGAGTGGATTCTGGAGGGCATGCAGAGTAATCCAGTTCTGGCCAGACTCTTTTTCCAAAGGCTCATCGAACTCAACCACGACGCCACGGCCGCAGCTGAGCTCAGCTCCAACGAGGCACTATCGCCGCTGTACATCGCCGAAAAATCCAAGGATGACCCTCCTCAAAGACAGGACCCGGATGACGTCATCATGTAAACAGAACTCCCATACCGTCCCAGCCTCAACCAAATTTCAACCCGCGTACCCTCTAACCCTCAACCATACCTGATAATTACAGAAAAGAGCGCAATCTCACGTGATACTTTGAATTTTCAAAATAACGGACCGCTAGACGAGGTATGAACTAAGTCGACACGCAACATGCTTCTTAAAATTTTTGCGAGAGAGACAAGTCATATAATGGGAATGTTGAGAACAACTCCGAAACTAGATATAAGTGATTAAAAGTAAAATTGGTAAAGGGCAAACATATGTATAATGCCTTTTGTCTTATGTAGCCTCCATTTGATTTGTGTTGAAAATACCTGTTAATATCTCGTGTAGGAGTTGATTTTCGATCTAATTGTTGTGTACATCGATTTCTACGTAAGATTTTATACAGAAAGTGAGCGGTTTCTTTTTTTCACTAGTTCAGACCTCATATAGTGACCCGCTTCGCCGAGTCAAGTTTCGTCAAACCCTATTTTGAACGTATTTTGTAGCGCCTATAACTCTTTTTCCCCATCTTCCACTATTTCCCAATCACCAATTACCCGATTCAGATACTGCTAGTTGCTATATTGACAGCAAAACTTTAAAAATTCATGTTTCCATTATTACAACATTTAAAAATATCGGCTCGCGTTTTTTCTTTTGTTAAATAGAAAACCATCCAAAATATTATCTTGGAATTCTTTGTGATTATTTTTGAATGAGCAAAAAAAATTCGCGAAACATTTCAATGAAAATTGTCCGTCAGGTTTCTCACACAGAAAAGAAACTACGGCTTATAAACCAATTAGTGGTTCATATGGAACATCACTAATAATAGTGAAGGCGACATATAATAATAGTACATATACCTTAGTTATGGTGTATACACCATACTATGGTGCGAGCTACCACAGACCGATAATCATTAGTTCGTATACAACTATTAATGGTGTTCCATATGAGCCACTGATTGGTTTAAAAGCCATAGCTTTTTCTCAGTGCATTATGAAATAATAATAACAAGAACGGAGATTTGGCTTGTTGCAATCTTAGATACGCATTTTTTTTTCCTTTAGCCTTCAACATAACTTTAATTAAGCGGTTAGAGTTTTGGAAATGTGGAATGATTACATTTGAAGCATTAGGGAACACATTTGAAAATCTCGATGAGATCCTGAGAAGAATCTTTTGCTGGCGTTGGCAAAGTACATTATAAAACTCATCAGGTCTGGGATGTGTTGGGACTTCGTGGATTTGTCGTTTGCGATACCTTTTGGTATAGGTGGTCGTATATAGAGCTTGTAGATTCTGATACGACAATCTGTCCATGTGTTAGTCATGCCTCTCAGACCCAGGAAGGTTTTTGGTGTATTTTTCATTCGAAAATTTTGGTCTATACGATTTTAATGAGGATAAAACAACTTCATACGGCAGCATTCGTGCATCCATTAATGGCAGAAAAATTACAGCTAAAAAAATGTGACGTCAATTCCTAAAACACCGACATAATATCTAGAAATTTTCCCGGGATTCATCCTGATGGTGATCAGTAATATAGCAGTACTTTTATAATACATTAAAAAGAATAAATGAATAGATGCGAATGCCGAGGTGTTCGATTTAAAATAAAATTCATTTAAATTCATTTGAAGTAATTAAGCTGTAATACCTCAGCACAAAATCTGTTCGTCTATCCTTCTACAAACTAATCTGTGGTGTTGCGCTTGTTCATAATTAAATGTGCGATTTATTCTGGCAGTGTTAACGATTATGTTGCAATAAATGTAATTTGCTTTTTAATTGGATTGAGAGGAGGGGGTGTTTTTTTTCCCACCCAAAAAAAAAAATTGAACGACGAAAGAAAAAGATTATTATTTTTCTGCGATGATTCAAAAAAAAAAAAAAAAAAAAAAAAAAAAAAAAAAACACGATTCTTCTCAGAAATTTGTATTTAAAAAGATATTTTCGGACATGAAAACATTGGACTAAATTATTTAAAGTATCATTCTGAACAGAAACTGAAAGTGCCACTTTTGTTGCCGTGTTGTATGCCGTCTGTCATTAAAATTCATTTTCGTAATTTCCTGTCACTTCAGTTAAAGGTAGAATCTAAATGTTTACCGATAAATGTTAATAATTACTCTGATTATTGAAAATAATCGACTAAGCTACAGTGAATCAATTTCAGCTGTATTTTTGGAGCTAACTATTTCGCTTTCTCGTAGATATTTTGAAACAAAAGAAACCGGCTTAAGACAAGTATTCCTTTTATTTGCCCTTTAATTGAATACTATCTGATGCTTGAGAGGAGCTTACGTATTGAAGACAAGCATTGTCACAGAAAATGTAAGAAACCACAAAAACCTGATCATAAGTAACCGCTTATCAGCCCTTCCTAAACGCCATGTCCCTCGCTAACGGCTCCAAAAGAAGAAGAACAAGAAACAACATTTGGTTAAATTATGTTCTTGGAGTAACGTCTTAGCGTCAAAGTCCAATAATATTATAATCTGATATGTTTCTTATTTGACTTGAATTTCTAATATTTTACGTCTGAGACATTCATTGTTTTGATAGGTTTGCAATGCTTAAGATATGTTGTGATTTATGTTGTTATTTTTGTATATTTACCCAGGCGGCAACAGAGGGTACCTTATTACGTTCAACGTGGAATTATGCATTGATTGTCTTAAATCTATAAACTCACTTCTATAACGTTACCATTTTTTTCACTAGTTCCCGAGGCAAAGTTTCCCATATATTCTCCTCTTTCATGTTTTTTTATTTATTTATTTATTTTTTTTCGTTCTTTCTATTTCTTAACATTGGCTACAAATCCAATGTTTTATACTGCAGTCAACCTTCCATAGATGACAGGTTTTTAAAGAAAAATTGTTGTAGTTTAACTTTTCAGGATGTCAATTTCTATATTCAAGCTCCCGGAAATCATCAATTTATTAGTCAGCTAAACTTAATTTGTCGACTAAATTGCTATTTTCCTTGTAAGTGACTCATCTCTGTATTCAGTAACGTATAAATCGTTGGAATTGTCTTTTATTGTACCTAACTTTTTACTTATCTTATGTTTACTGTTATTTCATTTAATTCATTAAAACTGATCTCCAAAGCATAAATATAAGTATTTATTTCTATAATTGGACTTTTTCTTTAGATTAAAGTAGAGTTGATTATTTTTCCTGTGATTAATTTGTTCATCGGTACACGTAAACGTAGGCTCAATTGGAATATTCCAAGACTTTAAACCACTTTTAGTCCATGTTATGGAGAAATAGCTAACAGTCAATGTAAATGAAAATTTTCGATACCTCTTGGTGACGTGAAAGCGACTTCTCCAAAAACATTTCTAGACGTTCCCATCAGATCATGCATTTCGAAAAACTTCACTAGAAAAAAAGTAGCTTGGATCTAGAGTCCTGACTCTTAATAACATTGACAAGAAAAAATACTCTTCATTCAATCGGATTTTTCCTGAAATTGAAGAGCGAGGCCTCTTGATTTAAGCGGATTTCCTTTTGATTCATGCAAGAAGTCCGTCAAGAGTATTTTTTCTTGTCAATGTTTTTAAGAGTCTGGACTCTAGATCCAAATGACTTTTTTTCCAGTGTGGGAACGGAGAGTGAAATAAATAAATTATATTTGGAACTTCGAACTTTACTTTGGATAAAAACTTGGAACGATTTTTAAACAAGTGGTTCCTGTAGAACAATTCAATGTGCAAGAAGTGACACAATGTCTCACTAATTTTACATCAGCTTACATGCAATACATCAGCTGATTTTTGAGATTTTGAAACATTTATGCAGTAAGTTACATGCTTTCTCTCAGACCAAGGGCGCTGAGACACCTCTTAATCTTATTTTACACAGCGTTTTTTTTTTTTTGTTTATTTGTACATTGAATCGGTATCGATCGCTTCACGTTTTTATTTTTTGTTCGATTCACATCGATCGAACACATACCCTCTCGTTATGTGCAGACTACCCATCATACTATTTCTTTTAACTGAACAATGCGCACCTTCAGTTGCGTCTGCAGCAATTGTTGTTACGAATATGTTATGCCCGCTGAGTTCAGCTCATTGCATACTCGATTCTCTGCAGGCGTTTTATGTGCCCAGGAGGGCAATCTGTTGGAGAATGAACTTGGTAGAGATTGACCGATTCATTCAATCTCACCTCTGTTGTTGTCCAACAGGGTGCTCAGAGACAGCTATATTGTATTTCAATTTGCCTGCAGTTTTTTCATTTTTTTGTTTCATGCATGTTTTAGGAGAAAACTGAGTGATGTTACGCCTCAAACCTGTCCGAGAATTACCCCCGGGTTACAAAGAATATTCACACCCAATTTGAAATTGGAACTTCTTCATTTTTACTGAATAATTTAAACATGAGAAGACATTAAGTGATGTCTGGGAGAGCAGTGTTACAGGATTGCGCGAAAAGTCTAAGAAAATATATGAGGTTTGCACGAAAAAGGCAGAAAGATTGCGTGAATAGAAACCTTAACATTTGCTACAGGAATGCGCGAATTTAAAATTAAGTTAGTCTAAGATAGAAGTTTGGCAAAACAGAAGACAGTTGGAAAATAAACGCATTTTTATGTTAATGCTAGTTTAGGTTTAAGTTTATTGACATGACAAGTCATCGATTTCTTACTTTTTAAGCTCTATTGCTCGATGCCGCGATTATTCTAACGCGAGTTTGAATAATCGCACCCAACACGGGTCGGCTGGCGCGGCATCAAACGTATAGTAGCGCCTGCGAGACTTCAGGGATACTTCACGCATTGCGCCAAACAGTGCAGTCGGCGTGAAACCCATATAGCCCAGGAATTATACGACAAATTCGGCGAGTTGAGGGAAAAAATTAATAACAAACTGATTTTTGACACAGTGAATCCTTATGACCCCCTGAGTTCCCCCAAAAAAGTCCTCATCAATAGCGAAGTAGAGAAATGTTTTCTCTCCCGAGCAACTAGTTGGTGCTTAGGAGAGAAACGTATCCTTTCCTAAGCACAAATTAGTTGCTCGGGAGAGAAAACATTTCTCTCCGCAGTCCGCTGCATTGAGTAGTTGTTTTCTTGAGATATGTTTTCCTCTCCCGAGACTAACCTTTCCTCTGCGGAGAGGAAACCCTTTCCTAACAGAACGATATGTTATTATTGGGAAACCATAATACTGTTCTCTGAAAATGCTCCTCTTATACTTGTACTTTAAGTCTGAATCATTTTCATAGAGCAGAGCTTCAAGTTTGCATGAATAGTTTTGAAGGTTAAACACCCTCTTTTCATGAGTGCTTTTCATTACAATGTTCGGGATTCTCCGTTCTCCCCGAACCTCCATGACTTTGGCTCGAAAATGGTGGTTAATGTGCTAACATTAAATAGTCCCAACAGTCAAGAGTGGCATGAAGCAGCGTTTATTGTTGAACAGCCGTGAGCGAACTTTCCCTGCAGAATAATCCTCAAAAATAAGTATTGATAATGATGTTTTCTCATTTTTGGGGGGATTCAGGAGGTTATGGAAAATTGATATTGGATAATATCACTCCAAAATTTTACGAGGATTCAGAAAATGGTGGTTTGCGTAGTGATACAAGCGACCGTTTTCATATTATGACCGGAAAACCGAGTTCGGGGCACTTAACCACTCCCCCCAACCCAAAGCCATCACGCTATCGATAAGGACTTTTTAGGGGGGACTCAGGAGGTCATAAGGATTCACTGTGTCAAAAATCGGCTTGTTATTCATTTTTTCCCTTAACTTACGTATAATACCTGGACTAATATTAGCGCCTACAAAACTGCATGAATACTTCTCGCATTGCGCCAAACGCAATGAAATCGGTCAGTTGGCCTGAAACGTATATTAGCGCCTACAAGACTGTGGAAATGCTGTTGTGGGACTGGGTATCATCATTCTTGACTTTTCTCCTCCAGTTTTTACCATAGTTAAAGGGAAAATATGTATCCTCGTTGTAATGATTCAGAAACTCGGATGATATTTAATTTTGTTTTGGTTACACGAAAAGAAAATAGAACGAACGAAAATATTGCGTAGAAATTTTCGATACTTTTATTTGAGATCTTTGAGGTAAATTCGCAGAAATTTTTCAGAAAAACTGTGGGTAGCTTTTTAAAAACATGTATTAAAAATAAAACATAAAAGTGGTGAATATCGTTGCAAACAGAAATGAATATACACTTTCTTACGGGTGCACTCGTCAAGTTTTGAATCCATTCATCTCTCATCTGGGCAATTCGTGCTGCCAGGGCTATCCATCGAACAGAGACATGTCCGTAAGTTTGGAGGGAATGAACAGTCTTTCGCAATGTAGATATCCCACACCATAACTACAACACCACAAACTACCAATGCTGCCAGATTAACGCTTTCTCGTTGAATATTGAATATTCGCGCAAACATGTAAGTTTTCAGTACCGGAAAAATTCGCGTATTACTATGCATCCCCAAAAAGGTAAAGAAGGAGAAGGGGATATTCGCGCAATACTATCGCCGCCTAGGAGAGTTAGGCTGATTTTGATCAAATCAGTCTAAATATCCTGTGAATTAATGATTAATAGCTTATACATCGGCATGAAAATGCAAAATAGAGACGGTTGAAACATTCTCACAAGCCTTACTGTAATAAACAAACGGAGAGTTTTGGAGTTTTCATCGAAAACAGCAAATCTACAGGTACCTGGTGTAGAGCAATACAGGTTAAGCTATCTGTTTTAGCGTGGAGAATTGGACTATATATTGTAGCAAGAACTATAATCTCTGGTTCATTCAAGAAAGAATCCATCTGCCAGAAAAAATCTAAGTTGAAAAGAGAAGGAAGAGCAGAACGAATAAGAAGAGAAATAGGAAGTAGAAGAAGAAGAAGAAGAAGAAGAAGAAGAAGAGTTTAGAAGACCTATAAGTGAAGTGGAAGAAAAAGAATGAAAGACGATAAAGAAGTAAAAGAAAGGAGGAAGACGACGAAAATAAAGAAAAAACATAAGGAAGACAAACATAGGGAAAAGGAGAGGAAGAAGAGGAGAAAGAGGAAAAAGAAAAGGGAATAAGAAAAAGAAGGAGAGAACGGGAAAGGAGAAGAGCAGTAGGAACAAGAATAGAAAAAATAAGGAGAAGAAGAGTAAAAAAGGACATCGAAGAAGGGAAGAAACTAGGAAAAATAGAAAGATGATGAAGAGGAAGCAGTAGAAAAAGAAACATCTGTCTGCAATCCTTTGCATAGGAACATAATAAGTAGATGCGTTGTTTCTAAAATGAGCCTTAAATGTTAGATCCTCATTATAAAATATAGTCTCATCGTTGGTTCAAAGAAGGAACAGTAATCATATGCTCTAAGAATCTTACTAAGAATATATTGTGTGTGCTATATATTTAAGGGAGCCGAGAAAGAAATAGGAGTGAGATCTGTCGGGCGGAAGGCGAACTGCAGAGTTGACTCTGCCACCCACAGAGTGTGCGACCACCCTCTTTCCCGATTTCCTCTTGGACGAGACGTTTCGGGGCGAATTTGGGGTTCCTAAAGAGTGAAGGAAGCTAGTATCATAAATTGAAGAACTTTCTCGCAAAATGGATTCATCCAGCCTGCCCTAAAAATCACGATTTGATAATAACCCCTAGGAATCCACCGTCTATTTTGTAATGTATATAGTTTACATTGAAAGCTGTTTTTTAATGTGTCATCGATCGCTTTTAATGTTTAAGATCGAATGCACTCTGACGAGTATCAATGCAAGACTGAGAGGGGCGGAAGAAAGTTCCGCTCAAGATGCACTCAATTCAGCATACCAGTCCATCTGCCAGAGGTGAATACATTTACCCCTCAGTCTTGCACTGATACTCATTAGAGCTCAATTTTTTGACTCTAAAGGACATTTTTGGCCTATATTTTCCCGCAGAATAGTGTGAACTCAGCGCTATTTTACCACCCTGAAAATAGTCATCTATTCGAAAAACACATATCGACGGTGAATCTACCAGACCACGTATCTCGTTTGCGATGTTTAAAAATATCCGCCTCCCATTTTATTCTTTTGACGGAGAACAAATCAATTTTGCTCCTTGAAGTTTTCACATAATTTTCCTCGTCTAGAGAAGAAAAATTACAGGAGTTTT